AAGATCAAGGCACCAATGACGTGGCGAGAGCGCTCCTTGGTCCTATCGCTGTGCAGACAGTTGCCGATGATGATGAACATGGCAAAGACGTTGGGCGGGACGGTGAGCAGCTGGGCGTTGTATCCCTTGAAGCCGAGCGAGGAGACGATGGTGGGCGCGAAGTAGCCGAAGGCGTTGAGGGAGTTTGTCATGAGGAAGTACATGACGGCGAAGAGCCAGAAGTACGGGTCGATGATGGTCTTCTTGGCGACCTTGCTGTCCCAGTGCTTGTCGGACATGGACGGGGCAAAGGGGCCGAGGCGCTTGACGGCGAAGGCGCGCTCCTCGGGGGTGAGCCAGGCGGCGGTCTGGGGGTAGTCGGGGAGCATGAACCAGACCATGACGCCGACGATGACGGCGGGGATGCCCTCGAGGATGAAGAGCCACTGCCAGCCCGTGAGGCCGCCCTTGCGGTTGAGGAAGGAGATGCCGGTGGCGAGGAGACCGCCAAAGGCGCCGGCGACGGCGACGGAGGAGGCGAAGATGGCCATGCGGGTGGCGCGCTCCTCGGGCTTGTACCAGAAGCAGAGGTACATCATGATACCCGGGAAGAAGCCGGCCTCGGCGAGGCCGAGCATGATGCGGACGGCGAGGAGGCCGCCGTAGGTTGTGCAGGCGGCGGTGCAGATGGTGACGATGCCCCAGGAGACCATGATGCGGGAGATCCACTTTGAGGGGGAGAAGTACTTGAGCATGATGTTGGAGGGGAACTCCATGAGGACGTAGGGGACGAAGAAGAGGGCGACGGCGACGTTGTAGCGCTGGCCGGTGAGGTTGAGCATGGTGACGATGTTGTCTTCGGGCTTGTCGTTGTTGAGGGTGCGGGCGTTGCCGAGGTTGACTCTGTCGAGGTAGTCTGTGATTCTCGTGTTAGTGGATGTTTGATGGCAACTTTCTCGTCTTTTCTCGTGATGCTGGAGAAAAACGTACTCAGGAGGTAGGTGATGCAAATCCAGGGAAGGATTCTGAGATCCTGCTTGCGGACGATGCGGCGTTCCATCTCCTTGTCGGCAAGGTCGACGGTCTCGAGGCCGGGCACGTCCAGGGACGGCGCCGGGGCGAACATGGCCTTCCAGTCGGGCATCGTTGCGGTTCTGGGATGAACTGTGGAGATTTCGGTGAGGCCTCGGTGAAGGGTGTTCGATCGCGGGATTGGTGTTGAACTCTAGATTCAACGACCGCTGAGACACCGTTTGGGTGGGTTGCCCTGTGAAAGCCGGCTTGGTGAGGGCGACGAGGTGAAGAGTCGACGAAGTTGTTGATGGACTTGTGGTTCGGACACACTCTCAGGATGCACTTCGGACGAGGAGGGAAGTCGAGTTGTTATAAGTCGATGCTTAACTCCCCTGGCCTCCTAGCGTCTACTGCATTTGGGTTCCCGCCCACATGGTTCGATCCATCCCGACTTCGAAATCCCCATAGAATTCACTGCGACCCCGCGACAATCTGGTTTTAGAAACGGTATTCGTACAACTAAAATGTTGCCTTATCTCTCTCAAAGAACCCAATTGAGAGCTGTGATAGGATGGGCGCGGTGGCGTGGGAAATGTCCCGACTGTTCGGGGTCTCCAGTCTTAGTGTCGAGTCGTCGACCACGCCCCCCCCCCCCTCCCAAAGCTAACCGTCTTGCAAAAGACTGAAGTCAAATTCAATATGTAAATGCCGGCGGGGGAGATAACGTTTCATCCAATCACAAGAGCGGAAACGCCCTAGATAACGACCAAGTCAAAAAAGTTCTGGCCTGTGTCAGTGTTCTCCTCCGTCTTGGGCTGTTCTCGTCCGACCCGGGGGCAACCCCGGACTCGGAAGCTAGCACCGCGTGAACCATTTCCCAGAAGGCGATTAGATTCCTGCAAGCCTGCGAATCATCCATGCCTAGTTCAGGTTCAGTTGGGCAATGTTCGGCGTACTGCCGTGCGTCCGGTTCTCGGGGTGGCTTGCAGAATTTTCGGCCTGCAAAAACACCACAAAGAAGAAGAAGATTAATAAGGCTTGATTTGTGAGAGGAAGAGAGAGAGAGAGGGACAGAGGGAGTAAGAGACTGAGACAATCACACATGCCAGCTGAAGACAGCCTGGGAACTAGAAGCCTGTCACAAATTGCCGCATTTCCGGGTACGATCAACAGCAAGTGCAGAAAACACGAGGTCTACGTACGCTTGTAAGCCTGTAATGGAGGCTAATACTCAAGATGATATTGAACCCCGTTCTTCGGATCGTCTGTCAGCCTGTCGCTTGCCAAGACTGCAGATGCAAAGACATGAGGATATTATTCAAGACCTCTTCGTGGGTCTCCGAAAGGGGGCCGGCCTTTCACCCTTCAACGCTTGAAGGGGGGCGGCGGCGGCAGCGGGCTCGTGCATGATGGCAAGCCCACCCCCAAATGCAACAACGATTTCATTCTCCATCTTCCCATGAGTCCCCATTCCTATCGCCGTGGACCCGAATCAGACCTGACAGCTGAGGGTTGTTCCTTGTATGGTTCACTCTCTGCGTCTCCTTTTCAGAGCTGTGCCTCTCGGGTACTCTCCTTTTTGGGAGTGTTCTCACTCAATCTCGAAATGAAGGGACGCAAAAGACATACCCAAAAAACCTGTTCGTCTCATCTCGCTGACGTCGGGTATCTGACTCGTGTATCTACGCTGCCGCGTCGCGGCGTAATGTTGGAGGCGTTGCTTGCTGATAACGGTCTCTGGCAGACGAGGTTGTGAAAACGCCACGGCCGACGGCAACTCCAAGCGTTACTGATCAAAAAACGCCCTCGTGTGTGTCTGTTGATGTCGGTGTAATTGACTACGTGGGATTACACGAAGTGATTTGATCAATATGGGCCCATCTACGCATCCTCCGCCATCCGCGACCGGGGCGGAGGTCCTAAAGCTCCATTCTTCGGCAGTGGCCCCGTGGAAGGGGGAGCCGCTCACCTAAACCATAGTAGCGTGTAGTATGAGCGAAGGCTCGTCGGTGTTGTCTGGGAATGGTTGCAAAATGTCGCGATAGGCAACAAGCCAGAGCTGTCTAGGCTTGTGATAGATGTTATCCGCCCGCCGGCACCTAGAGACTAGATCTATCTGACTGTCTGACATCTACACCACATCGACAGTGACAGGCTGACAGCAATAGATCGGCTCCATGCCAATGCTAGGCGCACATGGTCGTATAAACCCACAGCGCGGGATGTCGCACGGCGTCTCCGCTAGTTCTCACCTAGTGCGCGGCATGTCTGTGGTCTTGATCTTCGACTTCGGGGACCGGAATGACGATAGTGTGTTCCATGGGCTGAGGATGGTGTTCTGCGAGTGTGTGTGCGTCTGTGGGCGGCCGAGAGAAGCGTCAACTCTATGACTGTTTAGTGTTTGGCCGCCTGCGCGCGCCGGCGGGCTGCTTCTAAGTGGCTGCATGGCCAGGACCCGCCGCCCGGCGGGCATCAGTGGGTCCGCCCCGAGCCGATCGGCAAAGGCGCGTGGTTGTAAGGGAGTTGAGGCTTGCAGCTGGACCGTTCGAGCCGTAACACCGGAGTCTCATTTTGCAATATCTTTGCAACATTCACACGTGGAGGTTGACAACTGCTCCGTTCTGATTCGAGCGGCCCCCGGAGCTTCGGAGCTCGTGTTGCAACCTTGTGGGAAAAAAGGTTCAACTAAATGTGACGCCCAATTATTGATTCGCTTTCTCTCCGATATCATCCGAGTTTTTGAGGACGTCGATGAATCGATAGTCTCGATGCTCAAGTCCGAAACCGATCAAGGCATCCGCATCATTTGTTTTCATGCTCAGTAATTTTGGCTTACTTTATCAGAGTCTTGTAGGGAGAAAGCCAACTGTCTATGGAGGGGGGTTGTGGACAAACCCCTTCTCCCTTCCATCCCTGCGTCTTCTCTTTTTTCTCATTCTCTTTGAAACCTCAAGTTGAAGCGATTCAGAGACTTCACTTTCCCAAAATGATGTCCCATTGCTACAACCGAACGCCAACTTATCAACTCAAGCTTGAGCACCGGGTGACGCCCATCAAGTATTCGGAATAGCAGCCCGCCACCCAAAGAACATATCCAAAGCGCGTAGCTTTTAGCCTCTATCGCACACTGATCGCAAACTCAGCAGAAGCGAAGACACATTGGTTCTGATTCCGAAAGCGTAATTACTTCTCGGTGTAAGTGGTTAAGGCAGTGGATACAGAACAGATCTGGGCCCAAGTCGTTGTTGCGGTGAATTCGAGTTGTAAAGTCCTCTCGAGGCAATCATGGCGCAGTTTGCCCAGTACTAAATCATCATTTGTATGTAAGTCAAGCACCCTGATTCAGCCTTTGTCGCGGCGGTCGCAGACCTAACGATGTATAAGAGCAGTACAGGCCAGGCCGAGACACCATCGGAACCGATTCCTCCTCGAACGTCGAACGTTATCATTTTGCGCTCGCGCTTCAGCCTCAAATTTCTCTGCATCAGAATTCTGATCAGTCTGGAGACACTCGAGAGGGTTGGGGGCTACCTCTCCTGGATTAAATCGGAGCCTTGAAATGTTGCTCTGACTCTAGTCAAGCTGACTGTGAGAAAAACCTGAAGCCATTCGCGCCCTCGTTGCCGTTTCTCTCTGCAAAGCAACACAATCGGTCACAATTATGTGCAAAGAAGTCAATCCAATGGGCTAGGGTCATTGGCGCTGTGGCTGACTTGGCGCCAGCCCCAGGCTGGCTTTATCTTTATCCTGCCTATCAACCCCAGCTTTCATGCATGAACCATCACCTATCACAATGATCAGCTTCAATTCTGCGGTGCAGTCAGCCGAGCTGAAGTTCAGCCGTATGTGTTAACCCCGCGCACGAACAAGATGGGCCTGACTGGACCAAATGGCGCATCACCCAAAGCATGCTGGCAGCCTCATCTTCAAAGACAACAACAAGTGTTCAACTGTCTTCATACCAGGTCTGTCGTACAGATTTCTTGCTATCTGCACAGTCTATCAGAATGTTATGTCAAGTTTGCGTTGGGGCATTCCAACACCGGAAGGGTTGGGTTCGCGATACCGACGAGGGCTCCGAGCCCACCATTTTACTTGCTCATCACGAATCGGTCGCGAGCCTTGAAGCTTCAGCCCTCGACGCTTGCGAGACATGTCGTCCGTTCTGGCTCCAGATCAGCGAGGAGGACCAGATTAGACTGAGAGAGTTCGACGCCACTTGGACCTCACGCCCTAGGGCAGGCGGTGCAAAGTCCTGGACACCTGGGCAACGGTTGGACGAGTTTGATGGTCTAGTGACTATGGGCGCAGTTGTCCTTCTCGAGGAACCGAGTCTAAAAGCCATTGGGTCTGACTTGATGATATCCATTTCATTCGAGTCGGGATTCACGGATGAAATTCATTTTGATCAAAAAAATATTTCTGGTACTTATGTGGTACAGAGAGGTGATTGTAAGTAACACTGCCGGGTTGATGAGCCGTCAGCTTTTTCTAATGTGATCGGCCACCAGACAAGGATGCCGGAAAGATGATACCGTTCTCCAGTAACAACACGGACTCCGAGGAAGCGTGGGCTAAAGCAAACTTATGGATGCAAACCTGTTTGTCTACTCACACGGCTTGCAACGTTGAGCTGAAAGCGGATCCGTGGTGTCCAACTCGATTGCTTGACCTCAAGGCTGGTTGCGAGGGAACAGATGTTGCCCGTCTGGTAATCACGGCAGAAAACCGGCCTTCGCACAATGATCGTTATGCGACCCTGAGTCATTGCTGGGGTTCAGCCCAGTTTCTGCAACTGAAGAAAGCCACGTGCGACGATTTCAAAAGAGGCATCGAGCTCTCCAAGCTTCCAAAGACATTCCGTGAAGCCGTGCAAGTCACTCGACAACTAGGCGTGCGGTACCTCTGGATCGACTCGCTGTGCATATTCCAGGATCGAGACGATCTCTCCGACTGGCTGGTCGAAGCGGGTTTGATGCACAAAGTGTATTCAAACTCATTTTGCAACATCTCTGCAGCGGGAGCACGCGATAGTTCCAAGGGCCTTTTCTTCAAGCGGGATCCGAGAGTGAGCCTTACTACCGACATGTGCCTCAATGCGGAGGGGTTTGGACTGGAAACGGAATACGTCGACTGCAGCATTATCGACATGTCATTTTGGGGCCATGCCGTTGGGCAGTGTCATCTTAATAAGCGCGGCTGGGTTCTACAGGAGCGTCTGCTTTCACCACGTGTTCTTCATTTTGGCCGCGATCAACTCTTCTGGGAATGTAGAGAGCAAGCGGCGGCCGAGTGTTATCCAGAGAAGATGCCGGAAATCTTGGCAAACAGCGTTCCGACAAAATTCAAGAGACTCAGTAAAGAAGCTTACGGCCCTGATGCAATGTCGCGAGAGAGAGAGCCGGACGACCCCACGTTCTACCATCGAATTTGGGATTTAATCGTGAGAGCGTATGGAAGCACCCGCTTGACTATGGCCTCCGACAAATTGTTGGCTCTTTCAGGCATAGCTCAGCATTTCGAAACTCTCGTTGACGACACCTATGTCGTGGGGATGTGGCGGAAGCATTTAGCCAGCAATTTACTATGGCATGTTGATCAGGAGACGCAGGTCGACGGCTCTCCATCTATTCGGCCCGAAGTGTACAGGGCCCCATCATTCTCTTGGGCCTCAGTCGATGGCAAAATCATAACTGGACCCCTGATTGATCAATCGAAACTGCTCATAGAGGTGGAAGACGTCCGAATCGAGTACGTGTCGAAAAACAAGACGGGTCTGGTAAAAGGAGGCCATGTCGATCTTAGATGTTGTGTGCTGCCCTTCGAAATGTTTGTGAAGTCCGGCAGCCAACGCCGGTTCCTTTCTCTGAAAGTCAACGGTGTCATTGTCATAGCATCGAGGAAAGATCCGCAACGGAATATTGGTCCTCTGGTACACATGGACATTGGCCAGGAAAGCTTCAACGACGAGAATACCACAGGATCGCTATACTACATTGTCGCACAGAAGCAGGATGAACCTGATGGCTTTGTGAGGTGCCTTCTGCTGATGGCCGTAGATGAGAAGAGGAAGGTCTTCAAGAGGATTGGGCTGGCAGTAACCAACGATGCAGAAGAGATTGAGATGCTGCAGAATGGGACACATAATGCCGATGGAAGCTTATCGAACAATTGTGGTCTTGATGGAATTAGAACCATACGAATCATCTGAATGCGAGAAGTGGCTAGTAAAATCTAGTAAACTATCTGGTTGATAGAAGACGAGGGCGACCAAAGCAAGGCATCAGCAATGCTCTCAATCAGACCCTGTCAATTACGAACTCTAGCCTCAGACACTCCAAACAGCAGGAGACTCAAAGTTATCAAGCAGCTCTATTGCCTTGCATTGGGACCACCTGCCAAGTATGTTCCGTGAAGATCAGTGTGCCGTCCTGCTGTAAAGCATACGGGTCCACGTAGACATTGAGACCGATGTCCGACGTAGTAAGGTTGAAGACTCGAAGCAGCATGTAAACTGTGCAAGATCCTCCCGGGGACGTTGACGCATCTGTGTAAGACCTCATCTATGCATTTCCATAAAACCTTGGTCAGCCAAATTGAACGATGCACCCATTGCGAAAACTTTTGAAGCCCTACCCTGTTGTACTGATACTTGCTTACAAAGAACGGTCTTGCAGCATCTCCGGGCGTGGTCTTAACTTCGATCAAGTATTGGGGCTTCTTGCCGGTCCACTTGGTCCGCTCCAAATACCCCTTTCCGATAAGAATCTCAGTTAGAACTCCAAACCTGTCGTCGTAGACGATGTCGGCAGTCTCTTGACCTTCCCAAGGAGTCACGTAGGAGTATTCGGGATGAACTGCCACATGTTTTCGCATCGTACTTTGCCAATCGTCCATGCCAAAGCCTGGAAGTGGAGGTTTGAGATGCGAGAGCAGTTCATAAACCTGGAAGAAGCCAATGAGTAAAGAGTCTCGAGTAGTCATCGAGGACTGTGTCAAAGAAAGTAGACACGTTTTAGATTATCTGTACTCACAAAGAGCTCGCCGGCGGCGCCGATCTTCTTGTCACTTCCTGGAGGTATCCACGGACTGGAAGTAGGAGTCGAGACACATTCTGCTGACTGTCCTGTTCTTGTAGGACCAAGGTCAGGAAACGATCTACGCCGCGCAGAAAAGATGACGTTGTTGAGTATTCTCAGATACTCTGCGCTGAACGCATCGAATCTAGGCAAGGCCGTAGCAGTGGGTGTCGTGGAAGTTTCCCCAAAATGAAAGATGTCTGGTGGTAGGCTTGCGGCGGCTGCATCGACAGGTGAGTTCGGCTGCAAGCGATAACTTCTGTTGCTATCAGGTGAAGCGGGAGTACTTGTCTGCTGCGTAAATGTAGGACGAGTAACAGCAGATCCTGAAACGAAACGGGGCCCCGTCAAAGAGAAGGGTCTTATGGGCATCTCAGCCGCGAAACCTTGGCGTTGAGAGTCTGCCACCGGCGGAGGCGAGGCATCAGATCTCTCTTCGAACTCTTGGCCTTGATCGTCTTCATTAATACCGCCCAAGTCAATAATCCCTTCTGCCTCTAGGATCTGTGACACGCTTTGGATCGGTGCGTTGAGAGCTGAGCTCATTGCACTGATGGCTCGGTGTGGTATTGCACCACAAATTTGTGTCTCGGGTTCCGTCATGACCCACTCCAGAAGACGCCTTGGAAGACTCGAGTGATAACAGAAATCCTGCCTCTCTTTGCTCAGAGGGACGTATATCTGTAAGCGGCCAGCCGCCTCCCGGATATGAAGCTCGCTTGATGACTTGGCATGGATGTGTGCTTTACCATCCTGAACAAGGTGAATCTCAGATGAGATTCCATGCGTTTCGAATACTTCGGTGGCACGGAGTGTGTGATATAGACCATGGACGTCGTCCGAACGAGGACTGTTGAAGTGAGACGCAACCCTAGTGTCGTTATCAGGTCAGTGAAACTTCCAGCTTGAGAACCACCTGAATGAGAGTTCAGGCAGGGAAGTCTGTTATTAAATACCTAGAGATTCCACCTGCTCTCCTTCTAATATCTCTATCAGGACGTTGCAATCTGATTTGAGAATCGCTGGCAACAGTAGAGATTTCCTTTACGGAAGAGGAGAGATATCGGGAATCTAAACCTAACCAAGAAAAGAAGTTACTGAGCCTATGAACTTCATCAAGAGAAAAGTCCAGAAACTTGACTTTAGAAGCAAATATCGCGGCTAAGGGTTTGCGGTCCCTAATAACGAAATGTGTGCGAAAAGTCTCGAGACAGACCTGCCCATTTGGATATTCAACGGGAAATATGGCGCTTTCCAGTAACTGCTCTGGATCAGGGTACAACGTTGCAGTCTGAAGAAGGGTGTTCACCGCCCATATTGTTTCTTTAACTTCGGCAATGGTGACGGCTGTTTGCTCAGTCCCCTTCTTCAGAAGCTCATCGCATGCCATTGCAAGAGTTAGTCTTTGTACCCCGAGTGTTTCGACGAAGAAGTCTTCCAAGTCTTCGTAGATGGAGCTGAGAGTCGTTCGTCCCTGAATCTTAGCCCCGCTTGACCATAAGCACTCGGCTGTTGTACACCATCTGAACGTCTCGCCATTCGGAACGAATATGAGAGGCGTTGTCCTGAAGAGGGTCCTGGAATTGACAAAGTCAGACACTTTTCGTTAAAAATGAGCTATGAAACATACCTGAAGTCCTTCAATTGACTTTCTGACATGTCGCAGACGTGAATAAACTCGTAAATTTCCACAACCCAGTCGAAATCATCGCAATTCGCACCCTTCATGTGCTTCAGCTCCTGTATGCAGCATTTTTCGTCCCAATCTCCTATTCCCAGGGTCACCTTCATAAACCTCTCCAGAGAATCCACAGGATCTTCGGAGCAATCGTTCGTGAATCGCCCTTCAAGAGCAGTGTAAGCGTACGGAACACCTGGGGCTGCCCAGACACAGGTATCCGGCCTTCTCCAGGTCAGTATGCCGTCCTCAGCTGCAGAGATTCTAAGAGGGGCCGTTCTTTGTTCTTCTTGATTGTTGTAAATGGGAACCAAGATGCAATGTCTCTGGCGGCAGAAGTTTCTACGTCTTATCAATTACTTGTCGCTTGTCAATTTCTTTGGAAACTGGGGTGTAGCTCCTTACCTCACAACTGTGGCAACTTGATCTTTGGATGCAGACTCCTCACACCGAAGTTGTATCATTTCGTAGAGACCCAGAATCTTCCTATAGCTCCCTTGTTGTGGCTGACCTTCAATAACCTTTTCAAGAATTGACAAACGCAAGTTCACGTCATCTCGAGCTCGGACACCAAGCTCGTTGACTAAGAAGCCCCATTTTGAATGATATGAAGCAGAATGTGCGGCTTCATCGATTTGAAGGAAGCTGATTGTTGAATCTCCAAGGTAGGAGGAAACAACAGCCTGGAGCTCTAACAGTGGCAAAGTTGTCTCTGCGAGTGGGTAGTCCCTGCCGTCCCTGCATGTGATGTTGAGGTCTCGAAGGTTGCGAAGGAACTTCGAGGTACTCGAGTCATCATGATTCAGCAGCATCCAATGATGTTGAAGTGCTTCGATGAAGCTTTCGGGACGAAAAAGGCGGACGTAGTTGAGCTCGGGAGAAAGACTTTCCGGAGATGTAGAAGAGGTTAGTCTCAAACGACGGCGTACTTGCAGGACACGCTGAAGCCAATCAGACCATGTCTGCTCCAACCCTGCCGGTGTCTCTGGAGGACATTCGGAATACTGATCGTGAAGAAATGACACAAAGCACCCGTCTGGATGAGTTGCCGTAGGCTGCAAAAGACGGCGAGGCTCGTAGGGGCCGCTTGTTGCCAGGTAAACATCTTGGCGATGAGGTTGTTGAACCTCCATTGTGTGATCAAAGACAAAGAGATTGGCGAATGCGGTCGAGCTCTCTACGTCATGAGAAGTGTCGTGATGAGACGAATATAAAAACTTCAAATTACTGACAGATGCCAGCAGAGTTGCCTCAGTCTTAAGGATCGGTATTGGAGCCTCAAAGATTAGTTGTTGGATCTCTTCAACCGTTGCTGTTTGAACACCAAGCAGTTCAAAGAGCTTGTATCGATCGTCGACAGCAGATGCCTCAGGACTGACGAGAGACAAAGGAAGGTCTGCGGGGATTTCGAGATCATCCCCACTGTAGGGGAAGTAAATGGGTCGCTTGTTGCGATTAATCGAGGTCCAACTGCCATCTCTCAGAGGTATGATGTCCAAAGTCCGAATCCTCGCTAAGCCCTGTGAGGATGCCGTAGCCACGAGTCTCTGGATCATACTGGCAGCTCGTGAATGCCACTGAGGACTGGTGGATAGATTCTTCATTCTTGATTTATCGATCGGTTGGCCAAGGTCATGTTCGATCCGAGCTAGTCTGTCGTCTGCAGACAGCCATTTCAGACCGTACGGCTCTAGCAAGCTTAGATCCTTGACCTGGTATTCTTCGGCAACATAGATCTCAGCATCAAGGTCGTCAAATAAAGGAGTCCCAGCTTCGTCGAGCCAATTGGACTGTAGGCGACACAGCGAGTGAATGCCCCCCAGGTGACCGCTCCCCCTTGTGCGAAGAATCTTGCTCGTCTTGATACGGCTTACAATGTCTTCGAGCAAGCCACTCCAGAAGCTATCCCAAGGGTATGAATGTCTCTGTGGAAGCCACCTCATCCATTGAAATTGCAACATGGGATGTTGGCACATCTCCTCCACGGCTTTGAGGAAACAAGTCGCGATACCATTTCTGATTGCCAAGTTACGTGCAGATGAAATCACAATTCCTTCGCGAGACGAGTTGGTGACGAAATCAGCTTGGATGATGAACTGCTTGTAAATCAGCACAGGCTTGAAGCAATGTTGTGGATGGAAAATTCTGTGCTGCAAAGGCCTACTTACCTTGAAGCCCAAGGGCATCATTGGAAGGAACGCGAAAACTGGCTGGTTATCAATGATGGGGGTGTAGTCATCGGTAAGTGGGAAAGCCAGGATAACTTCAGTCTCAGCATCCGCACGGCCATTGCCTTCAGAAAGCTCCCTATTTTCGTTTGGAGGAGCATCTTGAATCACTTGACGTGTGACGTGATGCTTTCTTTGGACAGTCTCGCCGGAAGAAGACTCACGGTCGGAAAGCCATACTCTCTCTATGAGAGTGCTCGAACTTGAAGTTGAGAAGGAATACTCCACTCGTTTTGTTTCCGTGTCATTGTCGTCGTGAAACTGGATTTCGATGCGTCGCAGATTCCTCAGAAAAAGCAGAACGGTGATTGGAAGGTTTTCGAACTCTCTGTTAATTTCCTCCCTCTGCCGCGCCGCCTCTGAGAGAGAAGTGTCATCGTACTGATGAAGATGAAGTGTGATGGAACTTGAAGCTTGTTCACACTGCGGGATAAAGTCTGGTTCCCAGATAGGGGTAACCATTCCCAACCCGCTGTCGCCCTTCCGATGGGTGAAGCTGAAGGAAAAGTCGTTCGAGAGTATGTTGACTTTGTAGGCAGCCATGAAGACGGATTTGAAGCCGATACCTTTTTCCCCGATGTAACCATGACTGCGATTCTTTGAGCTCTGGCCAATCGCACAGATGGCTTTGAGGTCGTGATAGGTGAAACCATCCTCGTTGCACTCAATTTTGATACGTTCTCGGTACACACTAAACTTTACAAAAGGCTCAACACCCCGACTGTTTGCTGCAACGAACTTATTATCATCGGCGTTTTGAAGAAGTTCGAAGACAAAGCGGGCATGACTAGTGTTGAGATTCTTTGCCAAGCTTCAGTCACGATTAGCAGCTGTCGAAGTTGCAACTGAGCAGACCTAATTGATGAGCGGTTGTAGCATACGTCAAAATCGAGGAACCGATCAGTTGATCTTTCTGTAATAGAGCTTTTTCTACGACTGATCGAATGCGTTGATTCATGGCTCCAATCTCCGTCAAGTCGCTCTCAGAAACAATGCCATGCTCCTCGGCAATCCCTTCCACGAGTTCCCTTGCGGTAGGTTGGTGGGCAGTACGCCCTGGCGCAGCTGCCATGTCGTACGTTAGTGGTCGTCTTCACGAAGCAAGTCGCAGAGTCTCAATCGTCGTCGTTGAAATCCGAAGGACTAAAAGTGAAATGCGAGTCGAGAAATGTTTGAATCAAGTCATTTCCCCGCCAAGATCTCTTGCCGCGGACTTGACGCCACCAAGTCATTTTGGACCAACCACAGGCAACACCAGAAAACAATATTGAAATAAACCTAGCAACTCGCATGTGCCCAGATTGCGGCTGACTTAATTTTCACCAATGCGGCAATTCACTCATAGAAACAAATCAAGTGATTCACCGGGCTTCCACTCAATAAATGCAGAGTCAGACCACTCATGCGTCTCACAACAAAGCCTGAGAATTCGGTTCTGCGCGGAAAACTCTTGTCGACGAGGATCTCAATTGGTCCGGACATTACGCTTTGGGTTTTAATACCAATGTGATGATAAGAGCATCGATGGCATCCTCAGGAAGAAATGGAGCTTAGATTGACGAATGCAATTCGATTCTTTTTGTGTACCCGCAATCACCGACTGCCAAGTATGTACTGAATATATGAATACATGGAAAAAAATACGTACACTCCGGAGGAGTCCTCAAGAAGGGTGGCCTCTAGCTCCTCCATGTGATGGACCAGAGAGTCATTCGGCTATCACGACACCTCAAAAGCCAAAAACGTTTTTGATGGTTGTGTCGCCCGAAGCTTGACTATTTAGTCAACGCTGTCGCTCAGCAGTCGGCCTTGGCGCCAACATCCGACGAGGCGGAGCTGGGTCCAGCGACGGTAACGGACTTATCGCCAGAAGATCCGTCGGCGCTGCCGCGGGTGGTGCCGCCAGGGATAACATCGGGGCCAGGGATGGTGTTGTAGGAGGTTGAGCTGCCCCAAAGACTGAAGTTAACGGCCGCATCAGCTTGCTTGTAGACGCCGGGAATCTTGGCACCAGTGCCAGGCATGGTCGTAGCAGTGTTTCCAGTAACCTCAAGCTGGGCGCAGGCATAGTAGAACTCAGCCTCACCGTTGTGAGCGCCGTGAAGACCAATGTGCTCGCCACGGACGAGGTACTGGCCGTTAGGGATGGTCGAAGGGACGGTGAAGTGGACGTTGTCCTCGCCGTAGCTGCACCACGCGCCAGTACGGAGAGACTCGGCGTTGCCGGCCTTGCAGAGCAGGGACTGGGAGACCTTATACCAGGTCCCGGTGCCCTTATCGGAGGCGGCATTGCTGACCGGACTCATGTAGACCTGGGTGGGGCCGGGGTGAAGCATGCCGGTGCCACCGAAGGCCTGCTTGAGGCCAACCTTGTCGCCAGCCTTGACGGTGAAGACCTTTGCGGCCGCAGTGGCCCCCTTATTGCAAGAGAAATCGGCATCAGTCGGCGAAATAGAGCCCGAAGGGATATTTTTGAACTTGGTGGGCATGTAGCTGTTTTGATGCTTGCGGATGTAGGTGTTGTCACCACCCTGTTGAGCACCGTTGACGAGGAGCTTGTCAAACGTGTAGTGAGCAGAGGCCGAGGAGACCAAGCCAAGGACGGCGGAGAGAATAACAGTGGCCTTCATATTTGCGATTGGAGATACGCGGAAAAGAATGGAATGACTTCAAGTCAGGTAAAGAGTGAATGATAAAGAGAGAGTAAGAAGAAGAATGATAGGATGGTCACGTTGGTGTGCTGAGCTGGATTTAGAAGCCTGTAGATGCGATCAGCACATGCCTTATATAATGTTGAGTAGAAGTGTTGACCATAGCACACACACACGCACAAGTAAATCAAAAGTTGGTTTACGAAGTTGAGCCTAGACATGCTTGTGGAGCTTAGCAGCAGGATGTAGGCGCCCATTCCGAGCCAAGAGTTCGGTTTAGATTGCCAACAGAAAGCGGCAAACGCTAGAGCTCGGATGAAATCCCTGCTTTAGACAAAAGCTCTAGCAAAATCCTCCAAACACGCTACGGTAAGCATAAACGACCTGCTCGGGATCGATTTTGTGGAGAAAGCGAGGGAAACCCCTGAGCGCCGGTGTGGCCTTCAACATGGGTTGGTTGAGATTGCATCTATAGCACTGGCGAAGGGACTTGTGATTCAGTCACTTCGTCAGCGGACACACGAGAACGGCGGAAATCAGCAAGCGCCCATAGGATTCACTTTGTAGGATGACATGGAAACCACTATCGCTGCGTCCAGAACGCGCAGGACTGTAAACTTGGAAAAGAAGTTTCATCGCAGCTTTGATGTGACCCTGGCGATAACACAATGGCCAAGCCCCCAGTGATTCAATCCCCAAAGGTTCAGAGACAGTGCTACGGTCACTGACGAGCTGGAAGGGACGTTATGGAGTCCACTTCCCATCCAGAAATTAGGCCTGGACAGAATTCTTGGTGACGCCCCCTAAAATACCTAGGTGGCCATTCCCGTCCTATGCTTCTGATCCTTGCGATTGGAAGAGGGTCATATACCGTACCTCGATACACAAATGGCAAGCGAATGGCGGCTACTTTCAGCGCCTTGTTGTATTTTCCTCCGTCATCTAGAGCAACTTGACGGCGACAAGCATCTATTGGAGTTGATGCCAGATGATATGTATTGTACGCAAGCTAAAAGTTCTAGAGACTCCAGATAAACGAGGGAAGTCTCCTGCCCGGAACCGAGCGCTAGCTCATGTATCATCGAATCTGCAAATTGAATCATAATATCCGGTCATGCGATTGGAGTTGCTGGGCGCGAATGGTAAACGGAGTACATTTATGATGGGCCACAGCGTTGACCTTTGAGTTGAAAATCGGGCTCGTATCTCAAACCAGAGCGATCAAATTTCTTGATCAAATTCTTTGACCCTTATGAAACGTTTGAAGCCCAAATAATTAAATGAATGCAACCCTTAATTGATGCGGAAAAGAGTCATCGCGCATGCGAACCTCTCGCGCCTCGGAACAGCCTGAGTTTCGGGGAGTGGGAAACACAGATGATGGTTTGTTAACGGGAGTCGATAGGATCTTACAAGGCGTGTCTGACCAAGCGAGGACCTTTCATTTGGAACTAAGCCCAGTGATAGGTCCGCTTCTATGCCAGAGCCTCGAATACGGAAACGGGTGGCACGGCTGAGAAGTTCACAGAGGACGGAGGGCTCTGCGGGAGAGACGCAGGATGGACGCCGCTCCAGGGCTGTTAAAAGCGGCTAAAGTGCTCGGAAGACCCTAAGTATCTGATGTTAGCGGGGACTTAGGGAAAGCCGTTAAAAGTCGCGAACGGTTCGGACTATTCGTAAAGGCTCGTCAATCCTCGGCACATATCCACAAAGTAAGGAGTCGGCATGATCCGCTCTATAGGTGAAACCTGGGGCTTGAAATCGAACCACCTAGTGCCTCTAGCAGATTTAGTAGCAGCTGTGATTTGACGACATGGCTGTTCTAATACGTGACCAATGTTTTTATCCCTTCAAGGCCATGCCGAGTGCGACAGGGTAGCAGTGCCAGGCCACCATATATTGTTTTCCAGGGCTTATTATGTCAGAATTAGTCAGTGTAGCATTTTAGTTGAGACCACATGTTTTTCTAGTTTCGGCATGCGATGTAAAGTTTCGTTTCTGCTTAAGCCGCTAGATTATTTGGCTAATTGTGATCAGCTTGATGGTTGGCATTGAGAACGCAGTAGAGCATACTCCCAAAGCATCTGGAAACAGAGAAGAACCCCAGATCACTTGAGATGGCGCTGCCAACTTTGGCGATTTTCAATCGTTGCATCCAAGCCGCTATCATCCTCATAAGGACTCTATAAGGTATTCAGAGCATGCAGCTCAATCTAGAAACCACTTGACACACCAGGGTTTTATTCGCAAACAAATGACTCCCAACTGTCAACATCTGACCCTACAAGCATGGCCGTACGAGGCCATCGGCATAGCCTTTTGGTTCTATCGCTTCCATCTGCGGGCGATGTTCCCAAAAGGGCTTCAGGATCCTTCTTCTGCTCCACCCACTCGACTAAGGCTTCGAGGGAGTTCTGTTTCCCGGGAACGTGAGTATAACTCGAGGCACCTCCGCAATGGCCACCACCTACATAAAGAACCTCATTAATCGCGCGCTCAAGGAAAGCCACATAATGGCGGCTACCAATCTCAACTTACCTGGAACCATAAATAAAGATAACCACTCATCTCGATCGCCACCTGTCACCTGACTGATCTCATTCAAATGATCAATGGGCCAGGTTGCCGCATTGAAAGGGTCGGCCCATCCTTGCGTTACAAGAAGCTTTCCTCCCCTGTCCTTGAAGGAAGTCAGGTTGGGACTGACGGAGTCAATCAAGCTTCCAACCTTGAGATCCAGCGCATCCACATCGCTAGCCCAGTCGAATGTGCTGCCATTGTAATTCAAGTCGTCGAATACCATGTTTTGCAGGAGAGGAAGAGAGAACGAAAGGGACAAACGACCCTCCTGCATCATCCATTCCGACTCACTGCCCAGACCAAACCCAGGGTAGAGGCTGATATTGCTCAGGGAATGGCGGGGTCCCGCGTATATATTCTTGGCAGCTGTGAGTTGTTCAGATGTCAAACAATGTGACGAGTTAGTAGCGGGCGTCGTGCAAGCGAGCTTGTCCAAGTCAAATGTGCATGCAAGTGGATTCTCGAGGACTCGGTCCTCAACACCGTCTAGCGTGTCGCACTTGTCTAACACGGCATTTGCGATCAAGTCGAGTGATTCTTGTGGCAAGAACGAAGCACCCTGAGAGGTGTTAGCAGTAACTACTGAATTTCATCCTGGGCCGAGATATATAACATCATGCCCTTCAAGAGCAAGCATAGACTTAGAACAGCATGAACTTACCAGAGTCACCTGCTGGTTCCACAGAAAGGACAGCGCCAGATGCGAGTACCAATTACCCGGACAGCCGGCAACAATGCCGTCGAATAGCTGAGGGTGATACTGAGCAAGTGCAAAGCCTTGGGCTCCACCGGTCGAACATCCCTTGTAATAGGTATGTTGCGGAGACTTTTCATAGTAAAACGTTGCGATTTCTTTCGCTACAGGCGTGAAGAGCGCGATAGAATTGCGGATCCATGCAAGGACTTGATTCTGGTCGTGAAGGAACGGCAAGTAGATGCCACCTGGGTATGCATCGCCGTCGTTGTTATCTGAAGCAAGATGACCGCTGTCTCCTCCCGAAGTTGCGAAGCCCTTGTTGACGTTTTCTAGCATTGAGACATAGTCGATTCGACCAGCCAAGCCGCCATTGCCTGTCCACTTATTAACTAAGATCCCGGATCTACTGAATGATCTTGCAGCCTACCGACAGCTAGGAACCTGTCATTATACGCGATGCTTTCTGGAAGCCAGACTTCGAAAAAGACATTATTGTTTTCCGGGTATGGAACGCTGCCGTTGACACGGCAGAATGCGACTTGGTTGAAAGTTCCAGATACGTTGAGCGAGTGAGTCGGCATGGAGCTTGTCGTAATTACTCCGATGTTGCTAGCGAGAGATGCGATCAAGCTCGGTAATGAGTCGCATTGTGTGCTAAAATTCGCCTTTGCCACGCTCGTAGTAGGCAGAAGCCATAACGCCAAAGTCATTGCGGATAGCATGATGCCAATCATGAATTTACTGTCCCGTTGTTCTCTACGGACAGTCGGTCTGGAACACCTTGAAAGACTATGCGCATCTTTTAAAGATACGACAACGCGCCAGGGCGGCGGCGGTACTTTGCCATCGTCATTGCATGTGGAGCTGCCAGACTCATTTGCCGGCATCTTCATCCGCTGATCGGGACATGGATCCATCTCTTCATCGAAGAAAGTATCAATTCGACCGAGTATCTGGGACCTCTTTCGGCCTCGGCGCCGAAGTTGGTGAGGGACTATGGACGAGGATGAGAGGGGCTGTGATGGAAATCTGTACCAAAAGATGTTGACTGACCAGTCAGAATGGCTGAGGCATACCCCACGGGGAAGAACTGTGAGGGTTACAATGAGGGGAATCTCTGCAGCACTCGGCCGGCGGCGCCGAAATCCGAGCTCAGAGTCCACCCTGAGAGTCGAGACTCGAGGGCAATCAAATACGACCCGCGATCTCGTCAATCGCACATGACATGTTCAAGGGGCGAAAACAGTTTTATCCCGCACTTTCTAGCAATATCAGGGGTTGTGGAGGCATTTTGCACCCAGACCTCGCGTATTGGGGACGTCGTTGCGTTAGATGGCACAGAAAGACACGTAGCCTCGATCGCTGCAGCATACTTGTTGACTTTGAAACGCATTGAGCCGACTTGTGACTGGTGAGTTCAGGATACAGGAACTACAGTTTATAAAGAGATTTTCCCGTGGAGAATACGTATGCAACCAGAAGACACCGCTCTCCACGGAAGTCGTCATGAGTACCTATGTATCACCCGAAATCATTTAGCTAATTAAATCCAGCTACTGGGTCGAGTGCCTCAGTAGTCAACTTTCCGTGTGATACCGCCGCCACCCGACTCTCCTAAGACAACAAAGTAAAGTGCTGTCTTTCACCTTTCCTGAATTGGTCGAGGTGGGCAGACGATGGGAATCTCAACGTAAAGGAAGGG